TGTGCAGGAGGGCCAAGACGCCTGCTCTGATGCCTTTTCCTTCTCCCTGCTTGAGGGAGCCTGCTGGTCCCTCAGCTCTGGTCTGCTCGTGGGTGTGTCCACAGTGTTGACTCTTGTCACTACTGGGACCTGGGTGAGCTCTGCTAGTTCCCAGGATGTTCAAACAACGAGACCGGAGGAAAGAGTCCACCACTGTGGAGAGTCAAAGGATGACACGTGCAGAGGCCTGGCGATGGCTCAGGGACCTCCGCTGGAGGCACGTCACGCCACGGCTGGGGCTTCGTGCTGTGAGGGAGGAGCGTGGCCTTGGAGGAGAAGGTGGGGCCAAGGCTTACCCCTTCTGCTCTACGGGCTTGGCTTTCATGCCGCCAGTACTGCAGGCCAAAGCCTTGGAGTCATCTATGATTCCTGTCTTTCTGTCACATTCCATATCTAATCGTCAGCAAATCCTTTGGCCCCACCTTCTAAATATATCCAGACACTGACCACTGCTCCTCTCTCTGCTACCATCTGTCATGTCTGAATTATCCCAATGGTCCCTCTGGTCCCTCCCCACTGGCCCCTCTGCTGCCATCCTTGGCCCTGCATAGTCTACTCAATGTGGCAGCCACAGCGATCCTTTCAAACAGCAGTTCCGAGTACGCCACTGTGCAGCTCAGAACCCTTCACTGGCTTCCAAACTTACATCGTGTAAAATCCAAAGTCCTTACTACGGTCTTTAGGGCCCACCTGCTTGGTGACCACTGGCTCTCTGGGCTCACTGTCTGCTACAGTGTTCTTGACAACGAGCCAAACTGGCCTTTCTTCTGTTTTCTAAGTTTGTGAGACACGCTCCCACCTCAGGGCCTTTGCACTTGCTGTCCCTCTGACTAGAATGACCTTCTCCATAGGTGCACACCTCACTACCTGGCTTCCTTCAGGTTTCTGTTCAGTTATTATTTTATCAGTGAGGTCTGTGTATGTTACTTAAAATAGTGTCCCCCGACCAAATCCTAATCTTCTTTTATTTTTATTCTCAGAGTTTATCAAGACCTACATGTTATATATTTACCCGTTTACTTGCTGTGCACAGGAGCCCTGAGCAGCTGGGAAAAGGCACTGCACGGACCCCCAGGTTTACTGTGATTACTCAGTTGCTCTCTTGGGTTGATACCACAGACCGCGGCGTAGCCTCTGGGTTTAGTCTTCTCAGAGCCACTCATAAACCACAGAGGGCCTCCTAGCCAGCGCCGGCCTGAAATGCAGGTGGACAGAGTGGTGTGGTTAGAGAAAAGGGTTCTTCTGCCTTGCGCAGGCGGGCTGTGGTCTGAGACGGCTGTGGCTGCTTTCGGGCTTGTTGAGCCTCTCCCGGCCTTGTGCACGAAGCTGCGTTCAGACCCTCTGTTACCTACGGGGGTGACATGCTAGTAATTAACACGTCACCACCTGGCAGAGAAAGGACACCGAGGGAGAAGAACACTTGGGAAAAGGAAGTTTTGACAGACAAGAGTGAAAGGGAGGGTTTGGGGTATGAGGAATTCACTGTCGGCTCAGGCTGGGAGTAGCCAGAAAGCTCTTTGGGTGAGTCATTGAGCTGCACTGGTGTATGCTCTAAAGTACGGTTAGGCAGCCACTGCGCCTTCACTACCACTTCCTTCCTGTTCGCTGCTGATAAAAACTTTTCCTGTGCACCTACTAGTGCCAGGTAGTGTCAGGTGCTTTACCACATATCTTGCTAATTATCTCCAAAGAACTGTGGTAAGATAAGAAATGCATTTTATAGTTGAGTGAATGGAAGCATAAGAACTTCTTTAAGAGGAGGTGATATCAGTGAAAATGTTGCAATAAGGACTTCCAAAAACACTTTCCTCCGTAAAAGCAATGAGAACACTAGCAAAAATTGTCAGATTCAACTTTTTCAAAACTCCGGAAATTAACCAAAGACTTACAGCTATCTGGGGAGCATTTATTCAAGAAAAAAATGGCTTAATCTCAGTGAGAATAGTGAGCTTTGTGGTGTTTTAACTTGCTCCATTAGAAATAATAACAGATTTAGTAAAGTTGTAGGATACAAGATCAATATACAAAAATAAATTATATTTCTGCGCACAAGCAATGAGCAATCTGAAAATGAAATTAAGAAAATAATTCCATATATAACAGCATTTATACTTAGTAATAAATTTTAAAAAGAAGCACAAGTCTTAAATACTGAAAACTGCAAAACATTGGTGAAAGAAATTAAAGAAGACCTAAATAAATGTGAAGACATCCTGTGTTCATGGATTGACTCACCAAATATTGTTAGATGGCAATACACCCCAAAGCAATCTATAGATTCAATAAAATCTTTACCAAAATCCCAGCTGAATTTTTTTTTCAGAAATGACAAACTGATGCTAAAGTTCAAATGGAAATTCAAGAAACCCAGAACAGCCAAAATAAACTTGAAAAAGAAGAACAAAGTTGGAGGACTCATACTTTCCAATTTAAAAACTTACTGCAAAGCTACAATAATCAGGACTGTATGGAAGTAGCATAAAGATAGACATGCAGATCACTGGAATAGAATCGAGAGTCCAGAAATAAATCCATACATTTATTTATGGGTCAATCAATTTTTGACAAGGGTTCCAGGACAATTCATTTAGAGAATTGTCTTTTCAACAAGTGGTGCTGGGAAAACTAAATATTCATATGTAAAAGAATGATGTTGGGCTGGGCATAGTAGCTGATACCTGTAATGCCAACACTTTGGGACCAAGGTGAGAGGATTGCTTTAGGTCAGGAGTTTGAGACCAGCCTGGGCAACACAGTGAGACTCCATCTTTACAAAAAATTAAAAAATTAGCTAGGCGTGGTGGTATGCACCTGTTGTTACAGCTACTCCGCAGGCTGAGGCAAGAGGATCGCTTGAGCTCAGGAGTTCGAGGTTGCAGTGAGCTATTGTCACGCCACTGCACTTCAGCCTGGGCAACAGAGAGAGACCCTGTCTTAGAAAAAAAAAAGGAATGAAGTTGTACCCCTACTTCACACTATCTACAAAAATTAACTCAAAATGGCTCAAAGACCAAAATGTAAGGCTAAAACTATAAAATTCTTAGAAGAAAACATAAGTATAAATCTTCAAGACCTTGGATTAGGTAATGGTTTCTTAGATATGACACCAAAAGCACAAGTAACCAAAGAAAAAATAGATAAATTGGACTTCATCAAAATTTAAAACTTTTGCATTTCAAAGATCACTATCGACAGAGTAAAAAAACCCATGGAGTGGGGGAAGCATTTGCAAATCATATATCTGATAATGGCTAGCATCCAGAATACATAAAGAATGCTCACAACTGAACAATAAATAAATAACAAATTAAAAATTGGGCAAAGGATTTAAATAGATATTTCTCCAAAGAAGACATAGCATCAAGCACATGAAAAGATGCTCAATATCATTAGTCATTAGGAAAATGCAAATCAAAACCACAAGGTTCCACTTCACAAGCACTAGGATGGGTATAGTCAAAAAGACAGAGAATAAGTGTTGGCAAGGATGTGGGAAATTAGAACCCTCATATTCCTGGTAGGAATCTAAAATGGTGCAGTTGTTTTGGAAAACAGTTGGACAGTTCCTCAAAAAACTAAACACAGAGTTATCAGATGACCTAGCAATTCCGCTCCTAGTTATATACCCAAGAGAAGTGAAAACATCTGTCTGCACAAAATCTTATATGTAATTCACAGCAGCATTGTTCATAACCAAAATTCCATCGGCTCATGAATGGATAAACAAAATGTGGTATAGTCATATAATTGAGTATTATTTGACCATAAAAAGGAATGCAGTAGTCATTCATAATACAACATGATGAATCTTGAAAACATTATGCTAAGTGAGTCACTGTGTCCTCTGGGCACAGCTCCCTGAGCATCTGCTTGTCACCAGGGGGTGACCTGGACACAGATTCATGTTCAGTGTCATACAGACATCCTTGTCACTGCCACTACAAAGATACTGTTACGGAGTCAAGCTAGTATGTCTGATTCTCTCTTCTCTTGGGATGAAATCCTTTCCAAGTGGTTCCTTACCTCTCACGTAGATGGATTAGGGGTGGCCTGTGCTGCTGCCCTAGCAGATATGGCAGAATTCCTGCTGGGGCTAAAGCCGAGATTCCTCCTCTGCCATCCCGTTATTATTGTGGGTATTGATAAGAGCCCTGGAAATCTCCTTTCCCTGAGGCATTTTTAAATGGGGTAGACTTTCTCCTCTTCAACCCATCTGCCCACCCACTCATTTATCCATCCATCCATCCATCCATCCATCCATCCATCCATCCATCCATCCATCCGTCCATCCATTTATTCATACATTCCATTTGACTAATCCATGCTGTGCCAGGCTCTTTGTAAAGTGACTTATGGAGCACAGTGTTGCCTGGGGTTTGGGAACATGGGCCAAGTGATTTTTTTCTAAGTCTTCTAGAGATACATGAGTGTGAGTGTCTCACTGGGTTGTGTGCAGGGTGGAAGTGTTTGGGCAGCTTCACAAGGGCTGAGATGATTTAGAGCTTCTCCACCAATCCTTTCCTTTCCTTTCCTTTCCTTTCCTTTCCTTTCCTTTCCTTTCCTTTCCTTTCCTTTCCTTTCCTTTCCTTCCTCTCCTCTCCTCTCTCTCCTCTCTCTCCTCCTCCTCTCCTCTCTCTCCTCTCCTCTCTCCTCTCTCTCTCTTCTCCTCCCTCCCTCCTCCTCTCCTTCTCCCCTCTTTCCCTCTCTCTCCTCTCCTCTCCTTTCCTGCTTCCTCTCTCTCCTCCCTCCCCTCTCTCTCTCCCCTTCCCTCCTCTCCTTTCCTCTCCTTTCCTTTCCTTCCATTTTCCTCTCCTCTTCCTCTCTCCTCTCATCTCCCCTCCTCTCTCCTTTCTCTTCTCTTCTGTTCTCTTTTCCCTCCCCTCCTCCTCCTTCATTCATTCTTCTCCTTTTCCTTCCTTCCTGTCCTTCTTCCTTCTTCCTTCCTTCCTTCCTTCCTTCCTTCCTTTTCTTCCTTCCTTCTTCTCTTTGCCACAGAGCAGTCATTTTCAACAAAATGACTTGCAAATGTGAAGCTGCTCCCTGAGGATTCCTTCTGCACAGCACAGACCTTTCATCACCAACCCAACTTGTAATCTTGGGTAAAGAAAGTTTTCAGCTCATTTTCAAGGAGAAAAAAAAAATGCAAGCAAAACAAAACAGCCACATCATGAAGTTGCTCCACGTAATGAGGCTTGCTCTGTGGAGCTGTCGTTACCCTGGGTCTAGGCGGGCCTCCTACCTCCCCTCTGGCGGGTCTGGGCTGGGGTCAGCCGCTGGGCTGGGCGTGAGGAGAAAGCTGCTCTTCAGGGCGGGACCTTGCCTAGAGATGCTTGGCTGGCTGGTGGCAGCCGAGGAGGGGGCCTGGCAGCTCAGCTGCCTTCCAGACATTCTGCATTCGGGCTCTTGCTCGGACTACTCTCACCCTACATTCCTGGGGTTCCAGGACTCCTCTTGGATCATGGGAATCTTGGCTCATGGGAACTAGTTCTGCCTCCCAGGCCCATGGTGCCTCCCCATCCCACAGCTGTTCATTCAACAAAAATGTGCTGATGACTTCTTCAGGGCCAGGCCAAAGATGTGGCTCCTGCCCTTGTTCCCCCCATGATAGGATAGGCGGATACGGACACGACTTGGGACAGCTTGCTGAGCACCTGTGACTATTCTTCCTGCTCCAAGACCGCAGAGGCTGGCCTCAAACACCAAGTGAGCTATTTCTTCATGCTCTCGTGGTGGTGCTTTCTGTCTTCCCAGCTGACTGTAAACACCTGGAGGGAAGGGTATCAAACATGTTCTCTCAGTTTCTTAGTGCCTTGCACGGTGGTGACCCACTATGTCCTTGAATTAAAAAACTGTCTATCAGTGAGGAACTGCTTCTTCAATCCAAATTTTGCTATAATTTCTTGGTGTTTGTTTCAATCTGGGAGCATTAGGCTAAGAGAAAGAGAACAAACAGAACCTTCTATATTAGTTTTGTTGTTATGCAAGTCTGTGGGGGTCTCTGCTTCATCTTTCACCCAGTGTCTTAGCTTGGGCTGCTATAACAGATTATCATGGGTGTCTTGGTGGCTTAAACAACAAACATTTATTTCTCACAGTTCTGGAGGCTGGGAAGTCGCAGATCTGGTGTCTGGGGAGGGCCCACTTTCTGGTTTGCGGACACCTGCCTTCTCATTGACTCCTCACATGGTAGAGAGCAGAGAGCGAGAGACAGTGAGGGGACTCTTGTGTCTCGTCTTATGAACACACCAATCCCATTCATGAGGGCTTCAACCTCATGACATAATTATCTCCCAAAGGCCCATCACAGCCGGGGTAAGGATTTTGACATATTAATTTTGGGGGACACATTCAGTCCCTAATGCCCAGAAACCCAGGCTCATGGAGGGTCTGCCATCTTAGAGCTATGTCTAAGACACGTGATTTTCTCAGTCAGCCCAATTCTAAGAAAGAGAAGAGAAGCTGGAGGGATGCACGCTATTGACACATCACTTCTGCTCACAGCCCGTCGGCCAGAACCAGTCACATGGCCCCGACCTAATTACAAGGGGCCAGGGAAATGTGGGGGGTGTTCAGTGAACAGTGACTCTGCCACACTTCCTGAGCTGGCTTAGTGACAGGGGGATGTTGGCAGGACACCAGGGCATCGCATGGATCTCTAGTAAGGAGGATACATCTGAGCCCCAAACAGAACTGCACCCAGGCATTGGAGAGCCAGGAGCCATGGCCATGCTCTTAGGTCTCCAGGGTGTCATGTTCACTTCCTTCTCCTTCAGTCAGCAAGTTGGATTTTTCTCTTCTCCTTTAGGGTAGACTGGTTATTCTTGCTTTTTAAATAAAATGGGAATAAGAACAGTACCTGTCTCATGGAGTTGTGAGGATATGATGAGTTTATCTATACAGAATGTGCAGGAAGCGTCTTGCACATGGGAAGTGCTAGATAAGAGTCCGTTATTGTTATTCTGTGGAACAATAATCATAGTAATACTTATCATTGTCCCTGCACACCCCAGAACATGGCACCCCAGGTTTAGCCTTGTAAGACTTCCCCCAGCCACCCTCTGGGAGGGACTGTCAGAGACCAATTCTCTTGGGAGAAATCTGAATACCCAGCTGCGCAGATTCTCCCTGGATTTAAAGAAGGGGTGCAGGCCAGGAGGACATCTCGGATGGATGTTTCTATTACAGTCTTTATAGTGAAGGCAGTTCCAATGCTAACAGCCTCCTCCAGGGAACCCTGTTGCAGTGCAAAGTACTTGGCCATTCCTAAGAAAGGCCATGTCACCTCGTCTAGAGACAGACTATGGCAGGGCCTGGGAAACAAAGTTCTGACCAGGAAACAAATTCCTGATCACAGCCATGTCTGCAAACAAGGCACAGAGCATGGGCTGTGCACCACCCTGGAGGAACACAGAGTCCTGGGAGCTGAGTGGCCTCACGTCATCTGCCCCTGCAACTCCATTCCTCTGCCTGGGGCTTTTCCTTTATCTGGTCCCTACTTTGTCTATCACAAGAGGCTGTCTTGGCCCTGCATCTGCTCTGAAGTGTTTGACCAGGATGTCCTGGTTCTCAAACAAACTTGGTCAAAGGGATACTCACCTCCTGAGGTCCCACTGCCCTCTGTGGGTCTAAAACCAAATGTCTCTTGCCTTTGGGGCGGTGATGACAAAGGAGCCCCTTCATCCCGTCCAGAAGAGAAGCGGAAACACAGCAGTGCCTGGTGCGGAGCCCCGATTCCTACTTCGGGGGTGGGAACTGCCCAGGCTGCTGTGAGATCACCGTGGTCTTTGGCCACGCACAGACGGCAGTTTTGTGTGTTGCCTGTTCCACTGTCCTCTGCCAACCCACCAGCAGGTTTTGCGGAAGGATGCTCCTTCGGAAGGAAGCAGCACTGAATGCACTCTGAGTTGAATGGGAAACCATTCCAATAAACACGTTTGTATAAAACAAAACCCAAACCCACTGCCCCTTGAACTGGATAGCACTTTTGGTTTATGAGGTGCTTTCATTATTTTATTCCAATTCTCACATGAACCCCAAGAGACGGGATTATTTATCCTCATCTTAGAGGTAAGGAACATGATGCTCAAAGAGACCAGAAAACGTGCCCAAGTCACGGGGTTAGGAGGGCAGGTCCAGGATTCCACCCTGATCCTGCGGACTCTGAAGCCTGTGCCATGTAGAGTTTGGGATTTCTCGGTGCCCACGGCCTGGCAAGATGGAACTTTACTGAGGAAACTAGGGCGAGTCTTATCACAAATGTCAACTTCTCTCTTCCTTCTGTGCCCATCCCTTAGCTCATCTGACTTACGGAATATGTTCAGGGTGTCAGCCATGTGGCCTCTATTTACAGAAGATGATGTTCAAATGACAGGACAGATTAGACTGTCATGGGGAAGAGCTACAGTGGTTTTAAGAAGGAAATTGATGTCATAGGTCTTTTTTTATAAGCACTTTGTGGGTGGCAGTAATGAAGGGGAGGGCGGCAGTTGGTGGAGCAAGGATTGGGAAATGCAAAACTGGTTCCTCTCAGAAGAGGAAAAAAGAGAATCATCATAAAGAAGCTATTTTTTTTTTTTTTTTGAAGAGGCCACATTCGTTTTTCAGAGACACTTGGTCTTTTTCACACCAAGGAAATAATACTTAAGGGCTTTTAGAAATAGTTATACACAGCTTCTTCCTAAAAGCAGAATCACAGACACTTCAGAAAGCTTCTTTCTGGCTCCATGGACATGTGCTCAGTACTGTCGCTTGGCAGGAGGGATGGATTTCCATTTGGAGTTTGACAGGCTCACACTGATCTCAGTTCAGTCTTGACCAGGATGGAGCTTGGGGATTCCGAAGCTCTCTCCACAGGAACTTCCCCGTGGCTTGGGTGCTGCTCAGTGGAGCCCGACTCAGGCCCTGCTTGTGCAAGGGAAGGGAAGTGGCTTGCAAGAAGGGCTTGGGGTGTAAATTCTTTTCCTAGAGGTCCACAGCACGGGGCAAGAATTCTTCTCTTGGCAAACTAAATTAGAAATAATTCAGTTATTTCTAAAGACTAAATTAGCTCCAGGGGCTGTGGGGTGGGTCTCCTAATTTAAAGGCCTTGCCCTTCCTCTGGGCAGGGGGCCTTTCACTGAAGCTTGGAAATTATCTCCCTAACATGGACGCTGTGTCTGCCTCTGTAACCCAGAGGTCAGAAATGCACAGAGCTTCCACGGGATGGAGGGCAAAAATATAAATGGAAAACTGTGTGTTTCTAAAAAAAAAACCAAAACCAAGACTTAAGAGAGAACCCAGCCGCTGCCCATCCAAACCTGGCACAGCCTTCAGCGAGAAGTGCTCTCAGGAGGCCCAGGCAAGAATGTCAGCCCTGATGTGCGCATGTCTCCTGCCCAGACATTGTGTCTCTGTCGCAGCTCCCAGTCCTCTGCGGGGGGCGATGCTCCCAGCAACCCCCACCCCCCTCTCCCCCCTCTCCCCATGCATCCCAGCGGGTTAGGGAGAAAGCACATGTGAATGGAAGAATTTGAACCAAGATGTGCATGATGGATACCCTCTCAGGGCCGTTTCTGTTTTAAAAGAGAAGCCCCTTTTGCAGGGAAACACCACTCTGGAGACAGACGTCAGATGTCGGGGGGCAGGGAGCCAGGCCAGCTGTGGGGAGCTGTATTCCAGCCAAGTGACTGAATATCTGCTTTCATGTGGTTTTGTGGCACTGCTACAATCTTCCACCTCTGCAGAGAGTATACCCGTTTCTTCCAGTCGCCACGAAAGGTCACGGAGAGAAAAAGAGATTCTTCAGTTCTGGCAACTACGTATTTAATATGCAATCTTTGTGCCTGAGCCTGCGATGAACGAACATGCATATTCTATCAGCCTTGAAAATAACTGCTCAAAAGTGTCAGAGCCCTAAAGGAGACTTTTCAGATAGAGATCCCTTCTTTGTCAAGTGCCAAATAAACAGCTTTATTATCCAATCCATGTGTCCATTAAGGAAGCCCTGGCCTTCCCCGGATCCCTTTTATTTTTGTGCATAACACCCAGGAACCTGAGCATCCCGGCTTGCCAAAGAGGGCCCTGATTCCTCAACAGCCTCGGGCTCTGTGGGAACCACTCCCAGGAGCCAAGGCCAAGGCCAGTCTATGAGGCTGCTTTCTTGGCTTTGCCATTTGATTTCCATTGGGCCAGTGAGTATTCCTTTTTGGGCCATTTTCAGGGCTGAATTTCACATGGGCCATAAAGTCTTTTGTAAAGGAAAATGGATCAACCAGCCTTGTTGAGACTCACTCTATTTCTAGAGCCCTGATGATGGGAAACTTGATTAGTGGTGGAATAAAGACATGGGCAGTCTCATTAAATTAGTATGCGTATTTATTAATACAAATACGTTGCACTTGAAAATCAATGCAAATTTAATGTCTTGTCGGAGTAAATATACTCATTTTTCTTCAAGTTTCAATCAGTAAGGCTTCATGTATGGCCATGATGTCATGAGAGCAATAACACAAGATGCTCTTGACAGGCTCGTTATTTTTTCCTGTCATACTCTGGTCTGCGTAAGAAGCAAACTCGCTTCGGGATGTTCAGAGAGACATTGTTTTCGTCCATTTCCAGGTCAGACTCCAGCTACCATTACTAAATGCTCCAGAGCTGCATTTCATTTTAATACATCATTACATTCTGAAACTCCTCTGTGGAGTCTGAATTTATTGACGCACATTCTGCTTGTTCCTTCAGGGAAAGACCTAGCGGCTCCAAAGTACTTCCACGGAAGCCGCTGAAAGGTGAGAAGACTCAGGTGTCTCTGGCACCTGCCAAGGGGGAGGACCCAGAGAGGTGGCTGACGCTCCTTAGTGCTGACATGTCCCCGTGATGAGATTTCTTACAGCAGAACATGACGTTCTTGCCATCCTTGGGATCCAAACCACTTCAAAAGAGCGTTCTACTTTGCTCTGAGTGGCCAAATACCACAAGCACCACTCGATTTTAAGATTATGTAACCCTGGCATTCCAAAGGCAACGTGCACGGCCTTGCAAGAACAGACGCGGCCTCTGTTTGAAGGCAAACGCCCCAGACAGCGCTTCATCTCACAAAAAAAAAAAAAAAAAAAGAGTTGTCATATCATTCCTAACTTGAGATGTTTGCTTGGCAAGCATTTTTTCCTCTCTGGAGGAGATTTTTGTTTACAGGATTTAACAATTAAAAACACAATCGTGCATTGTTCAGCTACAGCACAAAGGTCAGCTCTGGGCACACAGTAGTTTTCCAATTCCTGGGTTTTTTTTAGTCCCACTGTGCAGACTGGCAGGCGTGTCATGCTATTTTAAGGCAGCAAAGTACAAAGTATGAGACAATAGACATCTTGTGAATTACTACAAAGCAGAAATATCTGTTCGGCTGATGAGGGAAAGCCCCCCTTGTCTAATGATGTTTGTGTAACTTTTTGTCTGCATATTCAGTCAATGCTATTTCGTTAGGGCAGTTGCTATAGGTGCCAAAATCTTCTGTCTAATGGGAGGGTTCTGGAGTGTGTAAGGGTTCTGAGACGAAGTTTTGCTCAAGTCATATGGCTCTTGTGAGCTATACGAGGGAACAAGCCAATTCCCCGTGTGAGATAATGGAACACGGGATTTTAGTGTTAGGGATCATTTTGTCCAACTCCTTTAATTCATAGATTTAATTCAATTGCCACCCACAAGTGAGTAGCTGAAGTTTACACAGGTGGTTAATAGCTACGCAGGCTCCAGAACTTCCTTTCTACAGATGAATTCTATCAAGAGTTTGTAAATTCTCCCCAAGAATGGAAAATTGGAATTCTCTTCTGTTATCTTTAGTACTTTTACCACAGCAAGTCTGAGGAAAAAAGGTAAAGAAAAGGGCAATAGGTACAAACTTTTTGGCAGAACCCTGTCCACAAACAGGATTCTTCATGTAAGTCTTTTTAAAAGCCATATATGTGAATGGGAAGAAAAAAAATTCTTAAGGTGAACATTTTATTTCTTAAAAAGATGAAAAAGCTATGTACAATTTACTAAATACAAGTGGACATTTGGACTATTCCTGAGATGCAACTGCAGAAAAGTTGTCCAGGCAGGAGAGGCCGGCTTAGAATTTGGGGACCATCTATGACTGCAATTGCCGGGAACAGAGAGCAATGCAACAAGCAAGCGACTATTCCTGCTGGTCCCTTCGTCCCTGTATGGCTCCGCTCTATTCACAGAGGAATTTAATTTTGCCTGATCTGACAGGCACAGGAAGGAGCCAGGTGGAGGGAGGGTGGAAGCCTCCAGAATTGGCCTTTCAGGAACACTGACAATGCTGTCTACTGAAAACCAGTTCTAAATGGTTTTCAAAGCCCTACAGTTTGTTTAGAGAAAAAATCTTGCTGGCATTGATGGATTTTTCCTCCTCTGAAGCTCACAGGAAAGTGTGTAAAGAATTAAATGATTCATTCCAAACATCTGATGGGTTTCCTTTAAGTACTCCCGCTCTGATCCACTTCTTGTGGGTGAGCTCAAGCTGCCCCATCTGTGATGAGGTCATTTTGTCGGGCACACAAAGGATTCCAGGGGGAATATGCATCATATACTGCGGCTATTCACAGCATTCATTCCTCCCGGCTGCTCACGGTAACAATGAACCTTCTCAGCGTTACATGTGCTTAGTAAGGGGACAGGGGTTAGATGCCTTTCAATGGAACCCCCCTGAGGCACACAATGCATTTATTATAACGTCCTGGCCCTAAGAAGGGCCTGGGAACAGCTTGGAGTGGCCCATAATTAAGTACATTTAATAATAAATGCATACACTTCTTAGGTATTGCAAGAAGTGAAAATAAATCTCACTGTCCACTCCCCTTCTCCCTCATCTTTCCCTTTTACAAATAAGAAAAGCCAGGAGTTCTTTTATTTTTTTTTTTTAAATAACAATTGCAAAGGATGTCTAGCCAGTCTGGAAAAGGAAATTAAATTACTTGAGAACATTCTTTCCATGTCAAGAAAATGGCTTCTGCTTACTCAGGTAGTTATGCACGGGGAGGATTTGTTAAGAGGCTGTTCTTTTAACCACTCTTGGATTCTACTTCCAAAGGCTTTCAGGGGCAGTGACCCACTAGCAAAGGGCACCCTTTGGGGTTAAGCTGCCAGTTGGATGGATACTTCTTCAGTCCACTGCTGTGCCCAGGAAGGAAGCAAGAAATGTTCCCCTGGCGGTGTTCCATGTCCTCTGTCCCCACACCTCCGAGTGCCTGATTGTGTGCAAAGTTTTTAAATACAAGGGAAAGGAAGCAAGCTCTGTGAATGAGGACACAGTACAAGAAGAGAGGAGAAAAAGGCAGCAGGAGTGCGACATGTAGGTCTGCACGCTGCAGCACAAGGTGTGGGACTGCAAGAGCGCCAGGCACGGAAGGCTCGGGCGCTGGGAGCCCACTTTGCCCCTGCCTGGCTGAGAGCACGGCTGATGTTCTTGAACTTCTCTAAGCCTCAGTTTTTTATTGTAAAATGAGATGTTAATAGTACGACGAATAGTTACTCAATAGTCTAGTATCATGAATCTTGGGATCGTGACAAGCTCTCTAAGCCTCATTCTCCTTATCTGTTAAATAGGGTTGAAAATATCCATCTCACATGTTTTGATTGTGAGGACTGAATGAAATGTTTGAAATCACTCAGTGTATCCCTGGTACACAGCAAATAATCAGTAAATGCTAGCTGCTGTTATTATTAATGCAATTACATTTTTTAAGGTGCTTATTGGATTGAAATTGTTTGCATCATTGGATGATTCAATACACTGAGTAAGCAAGTGGCTAGAGAAACAAGAAAGCCATGCAAACTTACTGGGTAGTACTTCGTTAGAAATCTGACTGCTTTTATTTCTTTGACAGCTAATGATAGGGAGATGGGGTGGTGGAACAAATGGGTGTTACCTTTTCTTCTGTCCTATAATTAAATAAAATGAAATTATGGACTTGTACAATTTCAATATACACGAGTGAACAGGATAACATTATTAACAAGACTGGTTTTACCAACTTAAGACCAGTTTTTCTAACTCATTAGTGCCCTGGCATTTCTGATTTTGCCATTAAATGAAGGAGTTTTTTATTAGATGGTTGAAGACAGAATGACTTCTGCTGAAACATTCGATTTTAAACAAAGTGATATTGAGTCTATCAAAAATAAAGGTCAGCCCAAGAGTGGGTGGGAATAAGGTACACTTTGAAAGAAAAAAGAATGAGGCTTGAAAAATAGGTTTGTTTTTTTTTATAGCTAGAGAAATCTCCAATCACTATTTAGTTCAAACATACTGCCTTGTTTTTACTTTGCCATAGGTAATTTTTAAAAATTATTATTTTATTTATAATTGACACATAACCATACATATTAATGGGATATATGATGTGGTGTTTCAATGTGTATCATTGAAAAAGTATCATGCTAAAATTGTACACATTATCATGATAAAATTGGGGTAATTACCATATTGCTTTAGGTAGTTTTTATATGAACGTTCTCAATAAATAATTTTTCTTACACGCATATGTTACTTTGAGCATTACATCTTGGACACCAGAATGGAGTAGTGTGAATCTTTTGAGAAACACTTAGAAGAACAAGAAGAAACAGGAAACTTGAGGCAAGACATCTTTCTTTTTCTGTTCTAGCAGCAAGGAGAATAGGATATTCGTTATTTATTTTTGAAAGAGCCTTTGAATAGTCATGTGGGAAGGCAAGCACTCCAAGGATCATTTGATTCCTTTTGGCATTGGCCAAGAAAATGAAATTATTGAGAAAATCCAACCTTCTATAAAATACTGCTGTTGGAAGGACTTTTCCTCTATAGGTTAAATCCTATAAAATCATTGTTTGCTAGGCGATGCAGAGCAAGGAAAAAATAAAAGTAATTATCAGAATGTGGTATCAAAGGCTCAGTTTGATGGGGTTGCTTGTCTTATCATAGGCAACCAGATGATGTGTTAAGGCAAAAAGCAAGGTATTCTTTTTCCCTCGGGTTTTTGGAAGTGGACCAAGCACCATAGTTCTCAAAACCACCTTCCTTTAACCCTGACCTTTTTTAAAATGCAGGTCGACTTGCTTCCTCTAATGACTTCTAAAGCCATCAATGGTTGTAGATTTCCAAGCACAAGTTTCCTTCTGGCTGCTTTCCTGAATTCTGATGACTGAGCAAATGTAGGAAGAAGACCCAGGAATGCCAGAATTACCCAGTCACTGCATGGGTTCACTTTACCGATGCCTTCTTTTCTTTAGAATACTCTTTATTCCTGTCTTATTTAAAATCCTGGGGTCATCAGGGTGGATGAAAGACACTTCTTAAACACTTGACAACATGGTGGAGGTGAAGATCTGTTGTAAAATCTGAGGGATGTTCTTGGTATCCATGGCAACGAAAGACCGGCCAGCGGGTAAAGTTCTCTGAAGCCTGCCAGGGTGGAGAGGGAAGAAAATTACCATTGCAAATTGGGGTTCCCCTTCCACCTCCTGCCCTGGCAAATCACAGCCTCTAAACGGTTTCTTAGGAAAGGAAGTGTTTACTTTCTAATACCTTGCTTACTGCGGGAAGCTGAATTGGCTGTCACTAAGCAATGAATGGCTTGGAAGAGCAACAGGGAGAGACACAGTGAAAGCAGTGAACCGCACGTAAGGTCTTTTCAGTGAGAAAAATCAGCAACTTCGAAAAGAAAAAATTTTCTTCCTTTTATTACTGTTGTTTCTTGGTATTTCATATTCCCTTGGTAGAACGGAGCCTGAGGGACTCATCTGGGTCCAGCAAATGTGTTGGCCTCACACTGTACTTCCAAGAGCTTTTCCTTCCTTAGAAAATAGGCCTCGAAAAATGTGGTCCAGCCAAACCCCAAGTGGTTCTTTCTCTCTTCCTTTTTCCTTCTCTCTCTCTCTCTCTCTCTCTTTTTTTGCTCCACATCATGCATGTCAAATGCAATCTGGATTATCCAATTGCTGCTTTGATGAAACTGAGGTTATATAGGCTTATGATAATTTTTTCCAACTAATTTTTAAAAACTTATAGCAGGTTTTGGTTTGAATCATCCTTAAAAATAACATGCCATGGAAGTTATGACAATTTTTTAAAATACCAATTTATCATTTGGAACAAAAGGCCATTTTCGAAGGCAATAAAACTGCAAGACACAGTTCTCTTCAAAAGGATGCCTCCTTTCACTATGCCAACAAAGTCTGGTTTTGGAATGACATTTAATAAAAGTCAACCATCCTACGTCGTATCATACATTTGGCATGCCCGGTAGACCAGCTAATTCTGCAACATATCTTTTGCCAGTGATGTTGGACCATTTCCCTAGGAAACCACAAGGGTATTATTGTGCTTTCCTAAGTATTCAAACAGGATCTGTTCACTAGAAAGACAAATTAGCTATTTGGACTCAACCGGTATTTGTTGAGCTTGCTGTCTGCCTAATACTGGGCTGATGCTGAGGAAAATCTGGGCAGAAAAGGCATGGTTTGCGTTCAAGGACACCGAGCCTCAAGAAGGCACAAAGTGCTAACATGTAAAACTAAGAAAAATGTACATTTGTAAAAAAGTGACTGTAATCACATGATATTAAGGTCTGTTCTCAACCTTACTGTGCAAGCCTGCAGCAAGGCAAATGGAATAGAAAGGTTTTTCGGCTTTTTGGTTCTTAAACCTTTTCTTGTTTTTTTTGGCTTTTTCCCCCCCGGGTTAGGCCGGTTAATTGGGGGGGTTATTATGAAAAGGTTGGGCCTTTTTTGTTTTGGGCGTTTTTTGGGTTTTTTTTTTTTTTGCTTTTTTTTGGAAGGAGCTATACTGTATACTTTCACTTGCATTTTCTGTTTCTTTTTTGAGATGGGGGGTCTCTCTCTGTTGCCCAGGCTGCAGTACAGAGCCACAGTCATAGCTCACTGTAGCCTTGAACTCCTGGGCTCAAGTGATTCTCCTGTCTCAGCCTCCTGAGTAGCTGGGACTACAGGTGTACAACACCACACTCAGCTAATTTTTAAGTTTTTTGTAGAGAAGCGGTCTCGATATGGTACCTAGAGTGGTCTAAAACTCCTGGCCTCAAGTGATCCTCCTGCTTTGGCCTCCCCCAATTCTGGCATTACAGGTGTGAGCCAGCATACTTGACCATGTTTTCTGCTTCTTACAGGGGGTATTGTAAGCAGAGAAAAATCATAAAATCATAAAATGTTTTGTAAAAATCATAAAATCATAACATGTTTTGTAATTTAAAAAGATAAACATTAGTGTGTTCAAGTTATGAAAGTATTTCCAGATCTCTCCTTTCAGATCATACCCAGTGGTATTTATTGTCTGACCATAAATTTCTCTATTGAATATTCTGTATATTCAGTGTGGCATCTAACTATATATCTATGTATATTGTCTTATGTTGTCCCTAAGTGTTTCACCTGCCTTGTCTCCCCAGTAAAAAGGGATATATATGTATGTCTATGTATGTAGATACAGGCATATATATGTGTAGCCTTACATATACAGGACTATATCCCTTCTTATTAGGGAGACATATCTATGTAAATATAATATATGTGAGCTGTCTGGAAAGTATCCCGCTGTGTAACTGTTACTGTTATATTAACAGTGGCTGGATACTTCTGGAAAGCCCTTGTTTATGTGTATGTATGTCTACATATGTATGTCTACATATAATACATATAGGCTTATATACAGAGAGACACACACATTATACCTTATGCTAAGAAAATAGTAGATGTTCACTACTTCGAATATGATTTGAACACAAAATGATTAGACTGAGCTTGGGACCTTAATGTAAAGTGCCAAATATATAAAATACTATCTAATTTACTAGTGGACAAATCAAATTGCTATTTATTTTACAATATAAACTAAAAAGTAATTAATTTGAAGTTATTTTTGTTTATCCAAACAAAAGCTAGCACATATCCCCTCAACTAGATTATAATGAGCTCCTTGAGGGCAGTGACTCTAGTTTTTCCTCCATCTCCCCACTTGCCCCTCACTATGCTAAGCCCATGAAACACTGAGTCACTACTCAGTTTCTCTATACCTGCTTTTTGCTATATGCCAAGATGACACTTACCTGGTTGCTTGATCACCTAAAGATCCAATAAAAATGGCAAAAGCATTTACTTGAGGGTTACATGTTAGGATTTGTGCAAACTTGGTAGGATGTATTCCGTATCGTGACAGATTCGCATCACTCAAGACTATGACAAAGTACTCATCAGCTTCTTCTTTGACAATTTCCTTGATGGCGTGTTCTGTCCCCTCTAACGTGTGGTCCCCACTCATGCAGAACTGAGAGTGGGCATGCATTGTCTAGAGGTAAGAGACGTTGCACAAAAGCCATGGGTGAGACATTTCTATGACAAACATGATGATTTTTCTGTTGACCATGAGAATGCATAAATACCAATTATTACACATGAGTAATATGTCTCCAAGTTCTATTTAATTTGTACATTCGAGTAACAATAGTTCATAGTAATATTTGTATTTGGTATAGACTTTCATTAGAAACAGCAATCATTCCAAACTACCTCAGTTGGCACTTACTTTTAAAATTCAAGCTTTCATTTAAAGTAAGAATATGTTAAAAAATGTAAAATGTGGTATCACACTGGAGAATAGAGATAAAACAGGAGAAAGATAAGGAATGGGTTGAGTTACCAATAAACAAAGTTATAATACTAAATACTGTATCATATCAATAGCAACGGAGGACATTTATACTTTAAAATTACGGTATGTGTGTTTATATCACAAATATAAGTACATGAAATAGAATTTATTATTAGAAAATACCAAGAAATACATAATATTGAGGATAGAGAGTATCCTAAAAGGAGTCATTCTTTTCCTTCTACTGAACATGTAGGGGCTGAGAAGTATATAGGACATATGAGGGGACCCAGGTTGTAGACTGTAATCTAATACTGAGTACCGTAAAATATGTAGGGAACAAATTTTAAATTGCATATGATGGAGAAAAGTATTTTAGGGCACAATGGGTGTTTTCTCAGTTTAATGCCTGAATGCTTATGAAACACAATCTTTTTCTTTCCTGTATCTACTGTTTCTTCAAAGAACCTTTTTAGTCTTTATCTACTCTGATAGAAGCTTTCAAAATATAGAGATAATTGAATGTATTTACCTTCAGAACTTCTAGTCTTTGCTTATTGTCCTTGGGGATTTTGTTAATTGGAACTAGGCCAATGTTGTAGCCATCTCCGGAGTGCCCAGTGATGTCATACTGTATGTAAGAGAACCAGAGAGTTAGAAACCTCTAGCCACTGAAGAACTGTCATTGGACCTACAAATGTCCAAGTCTTTTGACTGCTGTGGTCCAAAGTTGCTCAAGACATGGCCACAAAGAAGTGCAGTGAGATAGATGTTTATCAACACAGGCAAACAAAATCCAGATTCCTTCATTTCTGATTCATGCTCTTCTGTGATCTCTGTCCTCCAGCAGGAGGCAGAAAGTATAATGAGGCTTTTAGGGTCTGCCACGAATTTCATTCTTAACTTTCAGGGCAGGCTTAAAAAAATTACACACACACACACACACACACACACACACACGTGATGGGCAGAATTCTAAGATCCCAGTCCCCTGGTGGACATGCTCTTTATGATCTTCTCCCCTTATATGTGGACAGGACCCATAAATACGATGCGATATTACTTGTGATTATATTAACTTATAAAGCAAAAGGTCGTGCAGATGTAATTAAGTTTGACTTTGAATTAATTAAAAGGTAGATGATCTGCGTGGGTCTAACTTAATCACATGAGCCCTTTAACAATAGAGTTTTTCTTCTGGCTGCTGGGGAAGGTGGGGAAGCAGGGGAAGATGGGAAGATCTGAAGCATTAGGGGGATTTGACATGAAGGAGTTGCCTGTGGCTGAGATGGAGGGGACCACAGGGCAAGGACCTGACAGCGGCGTCTAGGAGATGAGGGCAACCCTGGCTGAGACCCAGCACTGAAACAGGGATGTCTGTCCTACAACCACAGGGACTGCACTCTGCCAGCCATCTGAATGAGCTGATTCTTCCCAGAGCCGCCAGTAAGAACCCAGCCTGGCCGACACCAGGATTTCAGTCTTAGAAGCCCCCAAGCAGAGAACCCAGCTGAGACCGTATAGACTTCTAAACTACACAACTAAGAGTTAATAAACAAATATAGTTAAAATAACCTGCTATTTGTGATAATTTGTTATGCAACAATAGAAAACTAAAACATAGAGTTTTCTTTTCTTGGAAAAAGTAAAGTACATTTATTGTAAAAATTATAGAAAAGCACAAAAGAAAGTAAAAATTACCCTTAATCTCATTACAGATGGTTAATGTTTTGTTGGATACATGGCTAGGCTTTTATTTATTTTTGATCTATGTGTAAGAGGTTGTGCATTCACATACAAACAAACCTACATTGATAACATTTTTAACTAAAAAGGATAACGTTGGCCTTGTAATTTTATACTCTGCTTTTCCACTTACCAGTGTATGACATACCTTTCAATTTAGAAAGTGCCTTTTTAATTCCCTATCTTGCTATGTACACGAGTAAGTCCTGTCTATTGAGAAAAAGCTGAAGCTGGGAGTTGGGTGCAACTATTTTACAGAATCTGGAAAAAAGTTTTGGGCCTGAGATAAACTGAAATCGAGGCAAGGTAGTTCCCTTCAACTGTTGGGTTTGCCAGCAGATTCCCTCTTCCCTCCTCCCTCCCACTAAAAATTTTTGTGCTGCTGATGTAAAGATTAGAATAGACCTTGGGGCATCTGAGCATCTGCAAAGAAAATCTTGACTGTGGGTCTAGGGCAAAAGATTTTAGGGAGCACTTGGAGTACTGTGGGATAAAATGTTTAAGAATCATCGATATACCAACCAACCATCAACCAACAGACGGCTTCTGAGCACCTACTGTGTACAAAACACTACTCTAGGTGTTGCAGGGGAATGCAATTATTTCTTTTCATGTCTGTTCCTTTTAAAGTGATGAGTTCTTTGAAGGTAAGTCCAGAGCATATTTATCTTTGAATTTTTAGTATCTATGAGAGTGCCCAGCATGTTTAATGCACAAATGCTTTAAGAGAGTTTGCAATCAAGTTGGGGCAATAAGAAGCTTTCCTTTTGCATGTGGGCTACATTTTTCTACAAATAAGCTGTTTGGAAGCTGGAATGCAATTTTTTTTCCCCTTAGCAATCATGGGATAAATGGTGGTTAGCCCAAGCCAGCTGACAAAAAAACAACCCATAACGTAACTGAAACCATTGTATTTAAAATGAAAAGAAATAGGAGAGCAAGATGGCTGCCTCTGCTCTTGCTGGTGCCGTGAGAGCAGTTTCAGATGTCCTGACGCTGCCAGTCAGAACCGTAACACACGTCAGTACACTAAAAGGCAAGAGAAAGACTGTGAAAGCTGTTGACTATAGGTTTCTTTGACTTCACTCTGGCCTTTGGATAAGGAGAAAGGCTGGTTATAAGAAAAAACTATGGAAGAAGACACCTGCAAGAAAAAAACGCTTGAGGGAATTTGTGTTCTGTAATAAAACCCGGAGTAAACTCTTAGATAAAATGACAACGTCTTTCTGGAAGAGACGAAACTGGTATGTTGACGATCCTTATCAGAAATATCATGATAGAACAAACCTGAAAGTATAGACCAGAAGTTTTATGATTTCCCAATTATTAAATAAGTATCTTTGCATAATGATGTCTTTGCAAAAATGAATAACTATAAAATCTGATGTAAGTTGTATCAATTAATATGTAAACGTGCAATGCCAACATTAAACTTATGAAAGTTTTGAAACTTAAAAAAATAAATAAATAAAATGAAAAGAAATAGATCATTTCTGTTGAAATCATTACTGTGCAAAAATGAGAAGTCAGATAGGGGGTTATCTGGAGAAGATGAGCTCCATGGTAGGCATGCTGAACTTGTACACTAGGGGACAGATGTGGCCGCAAGTGAAGACTTAGCAGTCATTCCCAGGAGGGTGACATGAATGGAGGCCCATATATGATGTCTAAATACATAAAAGCTATAAATCTAGCTATAAACTGTAAAATAAAATAGGATAAAATGCACAAAGATTTTAGGGATACTCTGAAAAGTGGAGAAATCATCATTATAAAAACTTTGAGCTAGTCAGAAAAAATTCTGATCTAAATGTTAGGTGGTTTGATAATGACAGTGACGCTCTTGTTTATTGACTCCTATGGTTCGTCCATGGAAGCGTGCTCAAAAGTTGGCCCTGACAAGTCTGATCTGACAATGGTCACGGCAGGAACTGTTTGTAGCCAAGAAGAAAGTTCTCCTAGGAAGGTGCCAGGCAGGCTGCTTACATTATGGGGTTGGTGAAGTAATCTGTTAAACAGGGTCTTACACCTGAGGAAGATCTGTTCCCTACATAGCAGTAGGTTTCTTATACTGGGCTGAGCTAAGAGGGCTATGAATGTATTTGACTTTTTCCTCCCTTTTACCTGATGGTTAGAGTTCTTACTACCAGATGACTATAAAAATCTTTGGCCATGTGGTCTGTTCACAGGGTCAATGTTAACTGGTCACTGCAAGGAAAAAAGTTGCTAGTTAATTATTAAACAAATAGCAGTCAACAAATAGAGTTGGATGCTTATCAAAACGAGATACTGGCTGATTAAAACCTTCAAAAACTGCTCATCTCTATTGATATGGGGGGAAAAAGAAAAAACCTTCAGAAACATTTAGCAGCTGTCCATCTAACATTTTATTGATTGATTGATATGTCTATCTAACATTTAAATACATGCCCAGGAGGAAAAAAGCATACTATAATTTTCCAGGCAAATGAGACAAAGATAGGTGGTCTGCAGACTTCCTTTTTTCCCTCCTCCCTTTGTTCCTTTTTTCCTCCTTTTCCCCTTTTCTTTATTTGTGGGAAGGGAGTTCTATTTGCAGCAAGATCAGTCTTTGTCTGTGCCTAGAGAGTATTGCAAAAGCTGGAGAACACACCTAAGGGAAAGGATGGGGCTTATAAAATGGTTTGCAGGCTCTGGTTTCTCATCTTCCAGATGGGCTTGGGGATTATTCTGTGTCTAAAGTCAATAAAATGATTGAGAGGAATCCAAAGTACATACAAATGTGGACCATTCCCTGGTGTTACTATAGATCATTTTTAGTTTCCATTAAAAACAATACTTCTCTGTCACAATTATCTAGTATCTGCTATCCAAGGATTCCACCATGTTTTGCAAATAGTAATTTGCTAATCACTCAAAACTCTCTGGGTTCAAGGAAGAGGTACACAATCTCATTCTTTTGCATCCTCTAACTCCTAATTCTGCCACTCACCCAGTCTTGTTCCTGCTGTGACCATCGTGAAATCTGATTTGACAGGGCCTTAATTAAGCGCACTTCCATGGACGAACCATAGGAGTCAATAAACAAGAGCCCCACTGTCATTGTCAAACTACTTAACATTTAGATCAGAATTTTTTCCGAATAGTCCAAAGTGTTTATGATCATGATTTCTCCACTGTTTAGAGTATCCCTGAAATCCTTGTGCAGTCTTAAGTTTAGCATTCGACACAAGTATTAAGCCACAGTAGTAAAGAAAAGCCTCAACTAGAGAAGACCAATTTGAATACTTTTTTTGCTAGAAACATGTTTAAATGCCCTTTTGCTATATTTTCTATAGAAAATCTCATTTATTTAGAGAAAGGTATAACAAATGAAAACAAATGCTGAGTTTCAGTCTAAGATACAAAGATTTATCATCAAATAACAAGAATAATTTATAATACTTAGAATACAAAGAAAGCTCTGCTTAGAACAAAGTGCTCTTGGCATTTTTATGAATAAGATTTATGTGGAAGTTTCTATGAAGGATGATAACCAGTTGGTAGGAGAGGCTATGCTTTATTATGTGTCCACATTATAAGTAGCTATGAGACAATCCTATGAGGCTATTTCTGAAAACCAGTACGTGTCAGATTCTAACCTCCTTTTAGTAATCCAAACACACCATTCTGAGATGGCATCACTGAGTGTGGGCTGCAAAGGATTAGAAGATAAATCTGTAATTTAAAAGGTCAAGAGAAGTGCCAGCAGAACCCTAGGGTGTCAGTTAGCTAATAACTTATAGTATTAGCTGGCTAATCTTTCTTCATATCATAGAAGTCAATGTGAAAAGAGCAATCTTCTGAAAGGTCAAGGATTCTAGACTTGGCTCTGACATTAACAAGCTTTTTGACTTAGAGCAAGTCACTTAACCTCTCCAAACCTTGTTTCTACCTTGTAAACAATGTTGGCTTAGAAGATCTCTAACACTGTATATGCTTGTAAATCACTTATTTAACTTGTCTGACAAATAGGGGTAAACCTGTTTTACCATCTCACAGGGCCACTGAAAGGATAGGACAATACAGTTAAAGACTATAATGTTTAATGCTTGCATAGTTTGTTGCAGTTTACAAAGTGCTTCAATATATCTCATGTCATTTTGATTCTCTCCACAGCCTTTGGGGTGGGTGTCATCCCCATTTCGCAAATGAAGAAATTGATGCTTAGAGAGATTAACCGACTTTTTCAAGGTCATAGATCTGGTGTTGGCAGAAGTGGAAACCAAACTTAGGTGTTCTCATTCTACATCCAGTGTTTTTCACTACAGAGAAATAATCAACATTCCAACTATTCTCCCCTCTCATCTCTACTCAAGCTTCTGAATGGTTGGCTTGGCCAATATTTCTACATCAACAATTGAATCAATTCTGAATTCTTATTTAACTTTGAATGGACTCAGAAAAGTATGCACATCCTTCTTTGGTCCTATCTCCATATAGCAATAAAAATTTATTAAAAGCCTTAACCTGTTGGCTGGTCTCTATTTCTAAACCTGTGAAACATTCCTGAGGCATTGGGAAAAGGTCAATTACAGACAGTAAACTAAGCTCTTGATAGAAGAAATTTTCCCAGCAGGTGCTGGTTTGTGAGTCACATCTTTCCACATCCTTCTGGGAGTTAACCCAGTCTTTCTGACCAAGATATCTTTGAGAAAATCTTGTCTATCACACCTCCTTGGGGTGGTGAGGTGCCAAGGGCAGAAGACAGAGTACTTTATGTAAATGCTACCCTTGCTCCTGAATTATAGTTTTTAAAAATGCCAACTGCATAGAAATAAAATGGCTATGAGAAATAGGGATAAAACATCAACTAAGAGCCCTAAAGCAGGAGTCAGAAGTTCTGGCGTTTCGCTGTGGCCATGTGACTGTGGGCAAAGCATTTAACCTCATTGCATCTTGGTTTTCTTACCTATAAAACAAAGAGGTTGGTGAAAATAATTTCCAGGATAATTCATATCCCCCAAAGTTCTATTAAAATGCAATGGTGTGTCCAGGAATTAGAAAGAAAAAGCCTGCTTCTCTTAGTTTTAGGAACACCTATGCCTTGTTTTTTTCTGTCAAGGGAGGAGTGAATCATCTAAATCTGACCAAGGATCAATGACACCTTTTCCAAAAAGAAAGCCCTCAGAGTCTATAAAGAAATAATCAAATATTGGCCCTAGAATAGTGGCTTTCTAACTCTTTCCTTCCTTTTTAAAAATTTTAGCAATGGAACTCTTTCTTCAAATGAAATATTGCACAAAAGCCCAGCTTATGGAAACATCGCGCACTATCAGTACACGTGGAATTGTTCCAGTTGAATTGGGGATGAAGAGGGATGGGGCAAAAAGTGCTGCCCACTTTCTCCACTTCCTAGACAATCTTCAAGGGCTCCCTGTTACACTGTCAGAAAACCACTGCTTTAGAATATGGCTTTATGCCTTCATAGAAACAACAAATTTGAGGTCCTTTCCTTTTTTTCAAAGTCCAACTTATGAATAACTGAATAAATCTGTTTTCTGGTGCCACTATTTGAATGTTTAGCAGAGAAAGTCACCTAACTTTTATGTCATTGATTGCTTTGAAAAAAATTAAGGCATTAAGAGCTTTTGAAAAGGAGGTCTATTTTAAGATTACAGTAAAAACATTCCCATGGGCTTGGAGAAATCATGGGGAACAAATTGGAATGAAGGTAAAGGACAAAAACACTTCCTGATTAAAATAAAATGTTTCACATAATCATTACTATTCCACCTTTTACTCCAGTGTTTAAGCATTCTATAAACATTAAAAATTATGCTGATTATAAGATTAGAGGAGTTTATGCTGATTATAAGCAAATGATGTTGCTCTAGTCTTAAGTGACCTACTGTGAATGTTATTTCTGGGGATAACTGAATTCAGTTGCTAGAACAATTATGAGAAACTTTAAAAACTCCAAATGGCTTAGAAATACATCTTGCCATTGAATTATCTTTCCTTCTCAGTAATTCTTGCTTGAGGGTCCCTGTGGTTTGGCACAGGTCATGATAATGTAGACTAGCAAGCAGAGGCTGACTTCAAATGAGGCTGCTGGGCCTAAATTGTAATGACCCACCACTCAGGAGCTGAGCCCGAGCCAAACAAAACACAGAGCAGTTGCCAAGAGAGACAGGGAAGAGTCCAGATCACCAGACCAGGCCAGTGGCTTCTGAAGGTTTCAAAGCAAATGCAGACTAGACACCTTTACAACTGACGGATAACTGTAGGGAGACAGCGTTAAGAACTGTCTGGAACTGGGAGGGAGGGAATCTCAGATCACCCTGCTGAATTCCTAGAGATACCACATGTGATGTCATTCTGGGCTACAGAACATCAATTTGTCACCAGGAGCTCCTCAAACTGTCTTCTGCTCATGTATTGTTTCCTATTTTCTGAGTAAATCAAATCCTTTCATTAGTTATTCCTAGTCCTTACATGTCTTTCACAAATGAGCAAATTAAAGTACCGAGTTGAATATGATCATATAACTTAAGGAGATGGAACAGAATGCACGGTACATGGCCACTTGGTGTATAGGCATCAAATATTTCTGAGAAGAAACCAAAAAATCCATTAACAGTGGTTGCCACTGTAGAAGGGGAGCCTGAAGCTGAGAGGGGGTGGGCAGAGGCTTACTCGTCACTCTTACTCCTCTTGTACCTTTTACATTTTGTATTATGTGTACACATTACCCACACCCCAAAATACTGACGGTCGGCCCTCCCAGCCCTCCCTATGTGCAGATGTGGAGCCTGGGGATATGGAATGCTGATGGGAACACTTGAGCATCTGAGGATTTTGGTGTCCTCAGGGGGTCTTGGAACCAATCCCCTGTGGATACCAAGGGACGACTCTCATTACAAACAGAAAAAGCTCTCACAGAATGTAAGTAGCTCCATCCCACTTCCTCTTGCCCTCTACAGAGGAGGCCTGGGAAGCTCTGGCAGAGATTAGGTGGCCTGTATCCACTCAAAATCTCAGACCTGTTAGCAGGGGTGGTAGGAAGATGTTACAAAGTCTCCAATGTGCCTGATATAGAAGAAGGGCCTGTTAGGAGTTCTGGAAATACAGGGGGTATTGGAACAAGTTAAATGACACCATGAGAAAACAACCAGACACATCCAGGGCAGGGGGCATTCTATAAGACAACTGGTCTGGACTCTCAAGAAAGTGACTGTCATGCAATAAAATAAATAAATAAATAAATAAAAAATAGGCCTCAGTCAGCCGCCCCGGCCCGGGCCCGGCCGTCATGGAGCGGGGCGGGCGCTCCGCCTGGGCCGTGTGAGGCGCGTCGCCGCCACTGCCGTTCCAGGCCTGCGGAACCCCCGCCGCCGCCCCTGCCGCCGCCGTCACCGGAGCCCCTCGCCGCCCCGGGCAGCCTGTCGCTGCCCCCGGTTAGGCTCGAAGGCGCATCTGGTGAAGGTGCAGGCCGGCGCCGCCGCTGCGCAGCCGGGAAATGGTTCGGGCCTAGCGGAGCCGGGACTGGAGGGAATCTAGAGCAACAACAAAGCTGAGGTCAAACTGCCATAAGGATGGACACCAAGGAAGCTGTGTTTGGGACAAAAAGAAATCAAGATAAGCAACATGAACCGTGAAGACCGGAATGTGCTGCGTATGAAAGAACGGGAAAGGCGGAATCAGGAAATTCAGCAGGGTGAAGACGCCTTCCCACCTAGCTCTCCTCTCTTTGCTGAGCCGTACAAAGTGACTAGCAAAGAAGATAAGTTATCAAGTCGTATTCAGAGTATGCTTGGAAACTACGATGAAATGAAGGATTTCATAGGAGACAGAGCTATACCAAAGCTTGTTGCAATTCCCAAGTCTACAGTACCACCGACAGCAGATGAAAAATCTAACCCAAATTTCTTTGAACAGAGACATGGAGGCTCTCATCAGAGTAGCAAATGGACTCCAGTAGGACCTGCACCCAGTACTTCTCAGTCTCAGAAACGGTCCTCAGGCTTACAGAGTGGACATAGTAGCCAACGGACCAGTGCAGGTGGCAGTAGTGGCATTAACAGTAGTAGCCAGTGGCATGACCGCGACTCATATAGCAGTAGTGGGAGTAGTAGCCGTAAAAAAGGCCAGCATGGATCAGAATACTCCAAAGCACGCTCTTCCAGCCCTGGAAAACCCCAGGCTGTTTCTTCACTAAGTTCCAGTCATTCCAGGTCTCATGGGAATGATCACCATAGCAAGGAACACCAGCGTTCCAAGTCACCTCGGGACCCTGATGCAAACTGGGATTCTCCTTCCCGTGTACCCTTTTCCAGTGGGCAGCACTCAAGCCAGTCTTTCCCACCTTCGCTGATGTCGAAGTCCAGTTCGATGTTGCAGAAGCCCACTGCCTACGTGCGGCCCATGGATGGACAGGAGTCCATGGAACCAAAGCTGTCCTCTGAGCACTACAGTAGCCAATCCCATGGCAACAGCATGACTGAGCTGAAGCCCAGCACCAAGGCACATCTCACCAAGCTGAAAATACCTTCACAGCCACTGGATGTAAGTCACACTTAGCATTGTGATTGTGTGAAGCAGTAGACTGTGAAATTAGGATTGAACTCGAACCGCCCTTTGCCTTACTAGTAAAGAGTATAAAAGTTTAAAGATGAAAAAAAAGTTTAAAGACTTGTGAGTGACTCTCAAGTGGATCCATTGAGCTTTTAGCTTCCCCTCTTGGGAAATATGGCATTCATGATTTTAAATATCAAAATGACAAGTCAGTTATAGAATAAAAGCATAATCCAGCAGTAAAAAAATAAATAAATAAATAAAGAGGTGAATGAGACATTACAACCTAAAGTAAGGCGTGGACGTTGATTGGATCCTGGATGGGGGCAGTGTGGGGAGCAGGGACAACTATAAAAGACAGTTTTGGGATAGTTGGGAAAACTGAATTTGAACTGGACATTATAAGATAGTAGGGGATTACTGAAAATTTTCTTAGGTATGTTGATGGTATTGAAGTTGTGTTAGAGAACGTCCTGACTCTTAGGAGAAGTATAATAAAGTATATGGAGGTAAAGTCTTATGCTGTTTATGTAATTTACTTTCAAATGATTTAGAGGGGGGAGAAAAAGTACTGTAAATATTTGGAGAAGACATAAAGCAAGTAAAGGCATAATGTTAACAACTGGCGAACCTAAGTGAAGGCATATGGGTGCTTATTTTACTGTTCTTTTAACTTTTTTGTAGCTTTAAAATTTTTCCAAATAAAACAGTTTTGAAATAAAGGGGAAAGTTTAAAAATAAACCAAACAAAAAAAAGGGAAAGCAAACAAAGGAAGAGTCCTGGGCTCTATCTTACTCTGTCTCCAATTAGCCTTCCGACTTTGGGGAAAGTCCTTCATTGTGTCTGGGTCTTGGTTTCCTGTTTGTGGAATGAGGAACTCCAATAAGTGACCTCCAAAGTGACCCTGGCTCTAAAGTCTGTGGACATGACGAGGAATTTGCAGGAACAGGATTCATACGTCTCCCTGGGTCACCCTGTTCCTCCAGATACTCCCCAAACACCAGTTTTCCTAAAAGAGGTTCAAAGAGCTTCTTTTGTGAAGTCTTAAGATCTTCTCCTTTGTTTGGGAAGATACAATGGTTTCTTAAGACTTTTTTTTTTTTCCTTAAAAAATGTTCTAATAGAACTGTAGTGAATGTGAGGGCTATGTTTACAAGTGCAAGAAAATGCACAAAAGCAAAACCATTAAAACACTTCCTGCTAAAAATCTAAGAGCATAAAAAAAATGATAAAGCTACTTCAAGCCCTGAAAAAAGTTTACTTTATCTTGGTGTCTTGCTACAATTTCATCTGGATTTGTCAGTCAGATATTACTATGGTTACCTTCTCAATATATCTGTGGTTACACTGGTAAAGACAGAGGAAATTCCTTACACTGTAGGGGCAACTGAAGACAGTACAGGACAGTACTGCAGTAGGGATGATCCTCTACAGAGGAGTGTGTGAAGAGGTTGTTTGCCTCCACACTGTTCATACAAATTTGTGTTGCAATGTGGAGTTTTCATATCTCCCTCACTTGGCTACAAGCTCAACTTTGTACCTAGTAGAATGCTTTACTCTTAGCAAGTGTTCAACTAATATTTGTAATTTTATTGAATTTCATTGACTTCCAGCAGGTCATATGGCAAGTTTGGTTTGTAACTATCAATAGAAAGCAAAATGAAACAACTTCTTGTGAAATGATCATTTTCTTGATATTGTTCCCTTTTGGCGTGACACATCCAGTTTCATTAACAGCTTGTCCAGATGATAGACTTTTAAAAGTGAGAACTGGACAGCTAGGAAGCTCTCTGTACACTCCACTGTGTGAGATGCCATGAAATACTCAGCCCACTTTGTGATGATCACACCATCTACTTGGAGGCATCAGAATGGCTCTCTGAACCCTCTAGTAGCTTTGCGACCTTCTGCCCTCTGTCTTATCTTTTACCCAGTCCTAGGGACCTGTGTCTTGGTTAATTCCTAATTTCTTGGTTAACTCCTAATAAATCTTCTTTCTAAAAACTTGGAAGAAGTAGCTTTACATGTCAGAGCAGTTCTGTTCTCAAAGATGTAGAAATCCTTTAACTGGAAATTTTATTTTAGATAACTATGAATTTTCCAATTTTAACAGTGGTATGTTTGCTATGGCCCATACCAGGTTAAAATCTCCACATAGCTCAAAAAGAGCTGAGGAACAGTGAAGTTCAAGATCCATAAGAGAAGCAGATGGGCTCACCCAAATATTAGCAGACCCAAGGGTTTTAAAATATCAGGTGGGATGTGGGTATTTTTGCTGATACAGTGGCTGTCTAACCACCCATTGGTCACCAATGGTCAGAGATTTAAGAATTATACTCCACCTTATATTAGAAGGGATCTAAAATATTTTTAAATAAATATTTTCTATAAACCCATAGAACATTAAAAAGGAGCAAAAAATAAAAATCAAGAAAAAGGTACATCTGAAGTGAGGGAGGGAGGGGCAGGGGAAGGAAAGAGCTGAACACCAGTCTGCGAGAGACATAACAAAGTTGTCATAGCTGGTCTTTGATTTTGGCTCTGAGCTTCCTGATAATGAAAACCAAGGGGGAATCTCGAGCAGTTCCATGGCTTTCACTAATTGCAAGGGGAAACACATTCCAGTTCTTCAAGGGAAACAAAGCTACTCCCCACCGTGAAAGTCCATGTCTTATTTGTATTTGCATCCTGTACTGGTACTGAGCCTGGAGACCCCTAGCCACCCTTTTCTTATCACTTAATTCTAAAAGGAATTTCTTGAACAGAGCTTCATACAAAGGACCCTGGGGAATTCAGGGAGCAGAATTCTTAATGACAGGACTATAGTAAATGAAGTGACGGGTTTCATCAATCTGTTTCTTGCTGTATGCTTCATATCACAGAGAAATGGCTTAGGGAGGCAATTCTGGGGTACAGGCGGGTGTCAAGCATAATAATGCTCTCAGACTGCTGATTTCTGAAGGACGTGTTTGATCCAGAATAAAATCTAGACTACCTATGGATATAGACTGTGTATCCTTTACACATGTCTGCACATCCACCATTCCCCTCAACTGAATTTTTGATAATAATTACATGGCATGTGATTCTACATTCAGGGTTTTTTGTTCTGGTAAGGGCTAGAAGTGCAGGTGCTCTTTGTGGCTGGGATTAAGAGCAGATTAATAGGTTCATAGTGGGCAGTAACACAGCAGTGTAGGGAGATCCTTCTCCAGACTCAGACCTCTGAAATGGAGAATGCACAGAAAACTGAGCAATAGCAAAATGGAAATAGCTTAAATGGGAGGCTGCATTTCTCCCAGGGTAATCGGCCTCACTGTCAGCTGGGGAGACATCTATGACCATAACCCATGCCCACGTGGGAAGGGAAGGCGGTGCTGACACAGTGTGCTTTGAGGGTAGACTCAAACCTCGGAAAGCTGGCTGGTTGGCAAGTGGGCAAGAGTAGGTTGGGATGGGGAAGTAGGATAAGGACAGGAGGCTCTGAGAAGTCTGGGAACAGACTTACGGTGCTTCTAAGCAGGTGGTTTTCCCCTAACTTTATTTCTAACATCATATAACTTGTGAAGTATAGTGCTTTCTTCTGTAATCATTGATACTTTAAATTATGGTACTATTTTCTTTCTTCTTCTTCTTCTTTTTTTTGAGACAGAGTCTCACTCTGTTGCCCTGGCTAGAGTGCCATGGCATCAGTCTAGCTCACAGCAACCTCAAACTCCTGGGCTCAAGAAATCCTTCTGCCTCAGCCTCCTGAGTAGCTGGGACTACAGGCATGCACCACCATGCCTGGCTAATTTTTTCTATATATATATATTTTTTAGTTGGCCAATTAATTTGTTTCTATTTTTAGTAGAGGTGGGGTCTTGCTCTTGCTTAGGCTGGTCACGAACTCCTGACCTTGAGTGATTTGCCCGCCTTGGCCACCCAGAGTGCTGGGATTACAGGCATGAGCCACCATGCCGGGCCCATTTTCTGATTATTAAAGCAGATAAAACAAAAGCTTCATTTTCTCTGCACTGATAAATGGGCTGGTGAGAAGATGAAGGTTTTTGTCCACTCTGGATAGAGTCTGCATTCATCTATCCAGCATCATGCCCCGACTCAGGCTGACTCCTGGGCGGATATGGTCAATGACACCTCTCATTACCCTTAGTTCATGCCATTACCTTGAACTTCTCCTCATAGTTCTCAAAGGCTTCCATGACCATACACACAGCCTCCATTGAGCGCTCAAGCCGGCCGTCCACCCCGTTGAAGCGGTACATGCTTCCAGACACATCCACCACCAAGCTCAGACGCTTAGGTTTCTCCTGCGGGCTGCCCAGCTGAGGGAAGGAACAACAGAGAAGCCTTGTGAGCCAGCAAACCACCCCTGGCTGCTGTCCTGCGGATCTCACCTAGGTCCCAGAGTGCTAGCCAGGAGTTGGGCAGATCCGCCATAGGCTCGGCCCCATGCATGGCTTCCTGGCAGCTGGGAAGGTGTCCACGGATTGTATTTCAGAAAATAGAATTTCAGACTTATGCTGGTAGTTGGAGCCATATGGAAAAGATTTCCCTTTGGAATATAGTTCTTTCGAAGCCCACTCTAGTCTTGTAAAGTCGCCTTACTGAGGCTGCTGCCCCAAAAATAACACGAGGTATTAAAAATAATAATGTGGAAAGATATAAACTGCAACATGTCACCTTCACTTTGTGCCTTAGAGTCGGTGACTTTAGCAAGAGTTTGTGCGATTTCCAAGGGAAGCCCACATCAATTTCACTCGTACCTGTTGTGTAGTGACCTGAAAATAATTTTCAACACAGGCCACAAGCAAAGTCAGATTCCTGAAACAAAGTTATAAGATGGGTGGCAAAGAAAGTAAGGAAATTATTTTCAAAATGTCTTTTTGTCTTTAACAAGCTTTAAGTTTTCCTGTCCTTCCAGTTACTGAACTATGGCTTCTCTTTTCTTGGCAGTTAAAAGCATGAAAGTGGTATCTAACTGCTGTCTAGAAACAATTGTCAAAGTAAAATGTGAAACAAACTTCCAGTTTGATTTTGGACCCATGAATGCCAATTTGTAGATTATTTTAAAAAAAAGTTTGTCAGTTTATTGACAAAAATAGAGAAAAATTCCTGATTATTCTGTTATTATATACTTGCTGACATGTATGAAGATTAATGAGCAGAGTTAGTAGTTTCGAGAAAATACTGTCAGTATTAAGAGTATAATGGTTTGAGGCAAATTCAACATATTTCTTAAAAACTTGTTGAGTCTGCCCAAATTAATAACACTGCCACATATGCTTCTATGACTACTCACAATTTCAGATGTATCCAAAGACATTTGTTGACCACAATGAGTCAGTAAAGAAAGCAGTTGTTGACTCATACCAATGACACAGAAATAAGAACTCCCCAAATCAACACCAGATCCTCTAAATAAACATCTAAATGCAGTGACTCTCCTTCCCCCCACCACTCACTGTACCCCCGGCTCTCAGTGGCTGCTCAGCAATTCTGGTTATTCAGGAAGGGAGGGGATCATGGAGCTCTCCAGGACACTCAGTATTTCATCCTGTTGCTATATATATATATATATATATATATATTTTTTTTTTTGCCATTGTACTGGAAATATTTTTAAATTATGGCTGTGTAAAACTTTACATATTATAATTATAGTTATCTAAGGGGACTTCCTTATTTCCTAAAATTTTCTTCAGCTGTATGATGGACACAGCTCTTTCAACTACTAGAACAGTAGAAAACTACCAAGATGCTCTATTGTTTTCACCTGAAGGGTCCTCTGGGATTAACAGACATACAGGGCTTCTTTAGTTTCCCCTCCAGGGCACCTTCTGTGTCCTGGGAGCTGATCTGTATGGACAGTGGTGGGGCTTAGAAAGTGATACCCCAAAATATGGTGCTTTGACATGCTGAACATAAGCTGCCTCCCAAGGTCTCTCTGACCCCACCTCCCCCGGTCCCCCAATTTTCTCTCTCTTCCACAGCACAGCATGAAGTGAGGAAACACTGAAGTCTGTCAACACATCTGGACAGACTTGTCACAAACCATTGTCTCCTCCGGAGGTCCAACAGACTTTGTCCCAGGACATGATATGTTCTTCAAGCCCATTGGATTCCACTAAAAATCATTTACTACCCTGTAAAATCATCTACACTTCCCCAATTTCCTGTCCCCCTAAAAAGAAGGGTATATAACAATCTGTACCCCATTGAGTGGTGGGGTAATCACCCTGATTGTCTTACTGTCCATGTCAATAACTTTGCATGCCTTTTCTCCTATTAATCTGCCTTTTGTCAGTTGATTTTCAAAGAACCTTCAAAGAGTGAAGGGGAAGTTTTCCCTTGGCACCTACAACCATATTAGCCACACTCTTGGCTGCTGGCTTTCAGTGGGTTCTGCTGATCACTAGCAGGTGATCAGAGGGTTGGGATATTTGCTCCCTCAGCTCCTTCTCTGCTACTGGTGATGGGATAGCTCTGCTACCAAATGCCACAGCACCATCAACTACTTTCTCCAGGTTCCAGTAACTGCTCTCTCTCTCTCTCTGCCCTTTTAGACACAAGGATGAGTTAGACCCTTACTATTGGTAGGGCTGCACTGTTTATTTTTGGTTTTCCTAAACTCCACCCTCACCTTTGTAAATGGTCTTTGTATTGAGTGTTCCTTAAGTTACCCAATTTTGGCATGTCTTATGTTTCTTGCCAGGACCTTGACTTGTATAATAAGTAGTATAATATTTTTGTTTCTTCTTCTTCTTTTTTTTAATAATGCTTTCCTTGGTTGCCATATTCAGAGTTGATGATATTTTGACTCAACTCAAGAAAGCAGGTTTCTGTAAAGAAGGCCAAACCATGCAGGTCTGGGGCTACTAGTTCACCATTACTTACTTGTGGCTCGAGCTCACCCCGACGTTTGTAGATGGTTTTTTCTCCAGTCAGCCCATCAATGATCTTGGCATCATCTAGTTCCCCAGTAGCTTGGTGTCTTAGCCACTGTCTTTCTTTACCTTTAGCCTACAAGGACACACACACAGAGCCTTATTTTAATTAGGTCTGCAGGATCTCTGACACACTTTGTGCATCAATAACAGAAAACACACCCGGGATCTTTTCAATAAGTGAAGGTTCTGTATGAACACAGCTGCATAAATGGACTAGTTTCTGCTCTGCTGACAAAGAAATGCCCTTTGTGGGATTTTGTCAGTTTTAATTCTTTTAACATAGGGAACAATAAAATGAACTCACTTAAAACACACATGAACAGGAAAATGGTATGCAAATGAACCCCTGGAGATACGTTCACTATCTGGAAATGTAATGGTGATGGATTTCTTATGGACTTTCTGTCATAGTGCTTCTAGAAAATTTATTAGTTAACAAAATAATCAGCTTGAACTTGTTAACACTGTCTGCAAGCCCAGAGAAAATATGATCTTCAGAGCTCTTTCCTTTGGAAAAGAATTTGTTACTCCAGTTCTCTGTGACTTAGTGTGCAAATGGAAACAGCTGAAAACAATAGTATGTGAACATTTTGTACCCCACATGTCTCTCTGATCTTCTATACTCAGAAATCTTCTGAATTACTTTCCTAAAGCTATTTCTACATAATATTTTGTCACAATAACTTACAACTATGCCAGATGGGCTAAGACAGTAGTAAAATTATAAAGAATTATCCCAATCAAGGCATATGTTTATTATATGCCTTGGTTGGGATAAGTGGAAAGAATAGCTAAAATATTTTTATGCATGTGAAGGAGCTTAGGAAATGTCATCCCAAAATATGACTCTTTGGTATAGAATATTTTGAATTAAACACCTTTAGAGATCAACAGGCCTTGGAAGGGGCTTTCCCTCCTTCTTTATGAAAAAACAGACCCATCAAAAGAACAATCTTCCCTTCCCCTCCCTGTTATCTCAATATATTACAGAAAAGAAGATCAAGAGTGCAACCAGACCTGGCCCAAATAATTTTAAATATCACACCTGTCTCTAAGGTTAAATTTCTAAAGAGACTCATTTACAACTCGATCTGTTCCCCCCACTCATCCATTCTCCCAAGTGTCTAGTCATTTTCTCTAATAACCATTTTTTGCCCCTAAACAGGATTATATATATTCCTCCCATCCAAGTACTAACTAGGCCTGACCCTGCTTTGCTTCTGAGATCAGATGAGATTGGTCATATTCAGGGTGGTATGGCTGTAGATTAGATTACCTATATTCCTTACCTTCTCCTCCCCTCTAAAATGAGTGAATATAAACTTCTGGACTCCACTGGTATATTGGATAATCACTCTGTTTTTCTCCCTGTGTGCTCAGTAAGTAAGCCAGTAAATAAATAAATGAATGAATGAATTTCATATCCAGGGAAGTATTCCATTATGCTATTCTATACTCCTAAGACTTAAATATAAATTGCCAAAGCATACCACAGACAATTGTGTGCTTTATGCTAATGAGAAAAGAGTATTTTACATGCAAATGACTTAGTGGATTACCTTGCAAATATAGTCATAAAGATCCCACTGTAATAAAGTGATCTGGAGTAACTACACTTTGCTATTTCAGATATTCCTATATTGGACTAAGTTATACTAGGACGTTTATCATTTACCAGGAGAATTAAGTTTTTCTTCAATTCCCTGTAGTAGGTTTGTAAGATAGAAGTCTTACTGGTTAGCTCTAGTTGTTAGCTTTCAAAGCTACTTTATAAGACTGTGAAGTGAACAAATGTTAACTTCCTATGGGAGGTTTGTGAAGTCCTCGTGATCAGCCTTAGAGCCCAGAAGGTACCATAACAGGCTAAAGGCACAAGAACCCGGCGCGGCAGATGGGGGGGACGCAAGGGGAAAGAGGCATGGGTGATGAAGAGTGATCGAGACAGGATTCAGCGAAGGTTTGCTGAACCACAAGTCCCACAATACGGTGGGAGTCTCCCTCTGGTACACATGCTAATAATGTTTGTAAACATGATAAAAGGGATTCCTGTTTAGGACACGTGTTCCTATCATTGCCCTTGGTAAGGCAGTTACAGAATTATAAAATACTTACTTTTCCCTTAGAATATTATTAAGTTTTCGGTCTCTGGATTCACCATCATCTAAGAGTCTAGGAGTTTTGGGGTCTTAATTTGCTTGTGTTGATGCTGCTTCTTTTCCCATAATGATTGTCACACCCCTTACGGTACTCTCTAGCTTGAAGACTTTGTTTCCATGATATAGGCCGATAAAAGAAAAGTGGGAGTAAGGCTTTTCCCAATGAATCTGTTATCTTTTTCTTCCTTTTGTGGGGGTCAACTTTGCAAATTTAAGTATAATGTACTTGTAATAAAGTACATAAATCTTAAGGACAGAGCTCAATGAACTTTTACAACGTGAACACACCATTTTAACCACCCACATCTACCAAGTCTCCCCAGTGCCCTGCTCTGGACTTTACCTTCCTCCTGTCAAAGGAGATCCCTATTCTGATCTCTATTACCATAGATTAGGTTTCTCTGTTTTTGTACTTTATAAAAATGGAATCATACAACATATACTCTTTTGTTCCTGGCTTCTCTGGCTCAACATTCTCCCCGAGAGTTATTAATACCATGTTGTGTGCAGCAGTACTTTTATGGGGTGTCCCAAAAGTTGCCATATACAGGGAAAATAGGAAATTGTAGCTAAATGTACCTTTATTTATAAAATATTCATTACAAAATTTTACAACATTTTTCCTGTGTATGGACACTTTTGGGACACCCTGCATTCTCTTTCCCCCTGTAACAGTGTTCCATTATATGACTTTGTCACAATTTACCCATTCTACAACTCTGCTGCTTTCAGTATGAATAACGCCTCCATGAAGATTCCTGAACATGTCTTTTGGAGCAGGTATGTGCATGTTGCTGTCAGGCAGAGTCACAGAGTATGGACATATTCAGCTTCAGTAGATACTGCTAAACAGTTTTTCCAAAGTGATTTTTCCAATGTACATTCCCATGAGCAGTGCATGAGGGTTTCATTTGCTTATGTCCTCACCAACATTTGATATTGACAACTTAAAAAAATCCTTTTCAGCCATTCTGGTGGGTGTATAGTATACGCCCTTCATTTAAAATTTTTTTTATAGATAAATGAATTACTTTGGGCACTGCTTGCCACTGATATTTTTAGGAACATGAGCCAGTAGTTTTTGTTTTTGAGAAGTAAAGCTGTGTATCAGTCTTTTGATCCAGAACTATTGGGTACAAAGACATTTTTATAATAGTGCTTTCATTAGGTTTCAAGTATGTAACTTGCAGATGAATATGGGCAGAAAATTTATTTTCTATCCTCTAGCCAGCCCACCAATATTTGGAAACTCAAAACAGGAAGAGGACTGTCAGAATGGATGCTCTTGGGGGCAATGGGCTGGAGGGGGAGCTCTTTAAAAAGTTACTGAAGGCTGAATAGAAATATTTATTACTTTAGACTGTGAATATAAAGGCTTCTGTATTTTATGGGACTTACTGAAATATTTCTTTAAATAGTAAGTTCCTACTGTATTTAACTTTATGCTTTTATTTATAACAAAGGGCCAAATATGTTATTTATTATATATTCCTATTGCATGAAGTAAAGTATCCTTGTAAATAATCCATCTGTTTTATATTATACGATAAATTCATACTAATGAGAACTCATTAAATATAAAGCTAGGTTGCACTAGTAAAAAGTCTATGTTATAGACTTTTTGAAAAAGAAATACAGTTTTACTACTTTCACATAAAATACCCAGAGAATGATGTATCCTGGTTAATTCATTTTTCTGGGAAATGTGTGGTTAGCCAAAAATTATACACAACACACACACAGAAACATACACAGACACACATACGTAGCACTGAGGGCAGTAGAATAAATAAACTTGACAAAAACAAATTATCTTGTGGTTTATGACACTTTGTCTTGTGATTTCAGCACTGAAAGCACTCTGATTAATCTTAAGTCTTCACTTATATGAGTTATGGTTAATCAAGAGTTTCTTTACCTACAAATTCTACATTCAAGCCAATATGCTCTTATTCCTTCAGAATTTGTTTAATGAAGAGATTAGGAAGAGTTAAGCAGTAATTTTTATAGAAAGTATATACAGTCTACAGAATAAAGCACAGAAATACTTGGGTGAATGAATAACTGTAAACAGTGTTTGGGAACAGTGTTTCTCTTATGAAATATTAGCTCCCATTATTTTAACATTTCTCTATGCTCAACCAACATATACTAATTATGCTACTAATCTATACCATTAGAACAAATAATTATTGGACTAAGGAAAACTTCTACATAGTATTTATAAAATAACAAATATTAAGTGGAAACAAAAAATTTACTTTGTGGTTCTCAATATTTTGACATAGTTGTTACAAATATTTGAGTAAATATCTGTTTAAGTTCCTGAGCGAAAGAGTATGGCAAAGAAAAGAAAAGATATGCATCTTCTTATCCCAAGGAATTCTCCGTTGTATGAAATAACGTCTCATGGCGAGGGAAAACGAAGATTTGTGTACTTCACAAAGGTGATTCTCATTAGAAGAGACTCTAATGGATGCTCTTGGATGCTGATGTGGAGCTGAATCATTACTTTGCATGACAATTTCCTACCTTTTAAATAGTTTTTATGAACAAAACCAATTTCAGGCTTTTCTTTACAGAATTAATTATTTTGTAACTCAAAGGATCTGTGAAGTGCACATTTTGGTGTACATCTGTAAGAGGCATCTTAAACGTAAATTCAGAACTAAACCCTGGATTCCACCCCTCAAGGCCTGCTCTCAAAGCCCTCCCCATCTCCATTAAAGGCAATGGGCCTTTCCTCCAGCTGTGCAGGCCCACACCTAGGAGCCATCCTTGACTTCTCTTTCACCCACACCAAGTCCACTGGCAAATCCTCTCAACTTCTGCAGTATCTGACCACCTCTTACCATCTCCATGTCCAACGTCCAACGCTCCATCCTTAGCCCAGCCCACATTTTCTCTCCCCTGGGCC